GACAAGAGTTAAGGTACAGTACTTACATTGACCCATGGATAAGTAGTAGACCCCAATGTCTGGGGGTCAATTTTCTAACTAAAATTTCTCAACTAATACACAAGTATATATAGCAGGGGTAGGCAACCTTTCCCCTTTAAGGGCTGAGGGACTTCAGCTCCCAGAATCCCAGGAGCTATTGGCCAACATGACACTATTGGCCAACATGGCTGAGGCTTCTGGGAGATGAAGTCCCTCAGCCCTTAAAGGGGAAAGGTTGCCTACCCCTGATATATAGTAACTGACAGGTATCATATAGAGTGGGAATGGAAGGAGAATTGGTGAAAATTAGGATGCATAGCATTAATAGTGACTGGCGGCTCCCATGTCAATGGGATGGTGAATTCAATCCAGTTTTTAATCCATGTTTTAAAAGACCCTGATGTTCCTGAATTGGTCCAGCACCTTGGAGAAGTAAGGCAAGCCAAAGAATTCACCACCCCATTGATATAGGAACAATTGCCTGCCATTACATAGCAGTCTCTTCCTGATATCTTGGAGGGCATGTGGGGGAATTATGTGGACCGCCAGATATTGTATGAAACCTCACCACTGGCTATGCTGATTAGAGTTGTTGGGAGTCGGGAGTCTAATAACACCAGGAGAGCAACATGTTTTCAACCTAGTCTAGAGTAAAGAGAAGTTTACTCCCCCATCTCCATCTCTGCAAGTCTTACATTCTTCAAGGGCAGGAGTGACTACATGAATCTTTCCATGTATGCTTTCCTTGTCTAGACAGTGATATTTATTCTAATTTAATTTCAGAGTTACTTTAAAACCAGAATTCTTTTTCTCCTTTTATTTTTTTGTGCTAATTTGTAATTTGTGGCTTTTTTTTTTTTTTTTTTTTGCGCCAGCTTCTACCTATGGATATTGATCTTTATGACCTGTTGCTTTCATCTGCAGGCTGGTTAATTACAGTTTCTGCAAGCTGAGAAATGAGAGAGCCACTAGAATAATTGCTTGCCTGCTATGCAGTTGAAAGGTCCTGAAATCATCCATCAACCTAATTTGAATGGAGGGAAGGGAGTAACTCTGTAAATGAGTTTTGTATATATGCTATTGCAGATAAACTTGCTATTCACCTATAGCCACTGCTGCCACCAGAGATGATCTCTCCTTGAATAGCCTAATGCATCCAAAATCTTCTTCCTCCTCTTTAGTGTTTAAAACTTCCCATTTCATTTGTATAAAGAGGAAAACACTTGTACATTATTTTTAAATTCCTAGAAAGAATTCTTCTCTGTATCACTCCCAAGCTAAAATTGGGAGATAAAATTGGCCTCCAGTCACTTAAAACTTTTTTTGTTATTATTGTTGTTTTTACCTGATTTGTTAGGTTTTGTCTCTGTTAATTCATATGCAATTAAGCAGAATATAAATATTGCAGTGTGTAAGTGTTATTCCATGTTTTGGTGTGCCAGACAGAATTGCACAAATACAACAAAGTCATGGAACCTTTTATTACCAAAACTAGCAGTTCTTCCATAGCATAGACTTTTGTTGTTACTGAGGTAGTATTTTAATTTGGAATATTCAGTAAATACAAGAGGCACATATAAAATATTCTTATGAAAGAGGGAGCTCAGACTCTTCAAGAATACTGATTATACTTTTGAAAGAGTTCAGTCACAGAGCATTTCTGTCATGCCCAGTCTGGCTGAATGACTCAGGGGAGGACTCTGAGGCTGAGCTAGATCTGCATCCTGAACCTGAGCCTGGCCCTAGCTCTGTGCTGAGAGCTCCTGCAGAGGCTGTGGCTTTAGAAGACAAGGAGGCAAACCTCCCAGCAACAGGGCCTACTATTACTGTGGACTTGGAACAGAATCACATGCCTGCCTTCAGTTGGAGAAGATCAGAAAGAGCTTGCCTCTGGCACTCAAGGAGGCTTTATGAAAAATGCCAGCTCATTAAAATCACCTGCACTAATGAGAGCTGATGATAAAAGTCTGGGAAGGATGCCAGAGCTTTTGTCATACGTTTTCTGAGTTTGCTGGTGAAAACACACTGCTTCCTGGCCTTCAGTTTGTCTTCTTGGTTTGGACCTTTGATTCTCAGACTGCCTGATCATCCTGTTTTTCTGGAACCCTTGACCTTCTTGGACTGTTTGACTACGCTCTTGGTTTGACCCCTTGGTTTGATCCCACGGACTTTTGTTATTGGACTCTGCCTTTATTTGTAAGTTTGCTTTTTGAGGCTTGCTCCACAAGCTCTATAAGGAGTTCCTTTGGTTGTTTGTTTTGGGATTGCTATCAGCATCTGACTGCTTTCCCGGACAATTTCTTCTTCTTCTTCTTCTTCTTCTTCTCTCTGTATGTTTGTTGCTTTATTCTGAAGGTCATCTTTTAAACAGAAAGGCTCTTTCTTAAACAAAATGCCCACCCTGCACTTTTTATTTTATTTTATATATTGCTTGTAGAACTGTCAGTATGAGCTTTTGTGTTGAAATCTTCCTTAAGCTTAGAATGCCATGGCTCTTCTCCCCTCCATCCAAATTGCAGGATTTCCCTAGATGCTAAATCATATGTTAAAAGACAAAAATGACATGGGTGTAGAACAAATATTTGAAGATCCTGAGAACGGTTTTGTGGTAATTTGTTTGCAGTTATATATGGGTGTGTGTATTCTTATGTAGTTGGAAGAACCTGAGTGCATAGAAGGTTGTTTCTGCTGAATGGCTTCCTTTATTAACCTGTTGTGTTACAGAGTAGTGTTCTGCCATTACTGAGAATTTCTGTGCAACAAATGTCAGTGCACCCTGAGTGTGAAGCTACTGTTAGAAGAGGAACATATGAGGAAGGAGGCATGAGTGGAATGTAGTACATGGGGAAGATGGAAGCATGGATTACACTTTGTGCTTCCCAAACCCACCATATGAATGTCTACAATACAAAGTATTAGCAATATATTTCAACACCAAAGTGCCTTTAATTTGGAAAAATGATAGCAAGCATGATGGCTTCATGGTTGGAAGAGACCTCAAGGGGTATCCAGTCCAGTTCCCTGCCATGTAGAAAAACACAATCAAAGCACTCCTGACAGATGGCCATCCAGCCTCTGTTTAAAAACTTCCAAGGAAGTTTCCACCACTTCCTGAGGGAGCATGATGCAGTATTGAACAGGTCTTACTCTCAGAAAATTCTTCCTGATGTTTAGGTAGAATCTCTTTTCCTACAGTTTGAACCCATTGCTCTGTGTCCTAGTCTCTGGAGCATCAGAAAAGTAGTTTCTTCCATTCTCAGTATGACATCCCTTCAAATGTTTAAGCGTGGCTGTCATGTGACCCCTTAACCTTATCTTTTCCACGTTAAACATACCCAGCTCCTAAGTCACTCTTCATAGGGCATGGTTTACAGAACTGTCACTATTTTGTTTGCCCTTCTCTGGACATGCTTCAGCT